CTTATATATAAAAATAATTGAAGCTTTCTTGTTTTAATTGAATCTATTCTTGGATCTAAATATAAATTATGAGTTTGGGGGTTTAATTTTGATGTTTGACAATTGTAATTGTATGAATTTATTTTCAGATTTGGTTTTTAATTAAAAAGCCCCAATTTTTGAAACCCTAGGTCCTTGATTTATGAAAATTATGAAAGCATATGAGGAATTAATGTTTAGATCTTCAATTTAAGTGTTTTAAGACTAAATTACAGCAAGTTTTAATTAGAAATAAAGTGCTGGAATTTTATGTAGAGCACTTAATATTATGTTTTTGAAGGAAATTTAAATTACCCATTAAGTTGGACTTAATTAGAGTGTTTTAAATATAATTTCAGCTTATTCAAATTATTTTAACAGGGGTTTTAGGATAGTATATATTGTTGGAAATTTGTTCAGAGTGGGTTTTAATGCTCTTTTATAATTTTAATGTGTAGGAGACTTCGAAGTGAGCAATTTTTACTAGTCGTGACGATTTTAGGATCGTATTCAAGGTACGTTCGCGTACTTAGCATATTTTGATGATGTAGAATCATGCTAGGTTTAATTTCAATCAATTACAAGTAGTATCATGCTAAGGTTTATGTATTGAATCGTGAATTATTGGTGTTGGTGATTGAATTGTGAAGCATGAATTATTTATGATGGTTTATGGATTGGAAAATTATATTTTGGCATGATTATATGGACTACATATTTATTTATGGCATGATAGAGAGCATGTTTAATTAAACTAATTGTTTAATTATGTTTGGAATATTGAAAAGAAATTTTATTATGGTTCATATAATTTTTATTGATGCTTTAAGCATGAGAAAGGAGCTATATAAGTGTCTATGTACGCAAGGAATAAATTGTATGTTGGTTCCTTTGTGCACTTAAGGTATTTTAACACCGAGGTATAGGATGGTTGGCGCTTTATGCGTTTAAGGTGTCTTCGACACTGAGGTAGAATTAAAAAGGGTTCAACATTAAATATTATGTGGTCACTAATTATTCAAGAATTAAATTGGTATATTTGTTTGATTGAATAATTATTATTGATTGACTTATTATGCTTTGAGAGTCATCACCAAGTCTAATAATATGTAAATAACGTAAAGTGAAAGAGATTACGCACCAAAACTCTTGGAACGTATATACCTTGAGTATGAACATATGGGGGGAGTTATGTGACTTTATATTTGATCATAACTTCTAACAGAGTACAGGACGCTGTATATTCCTTTTTATTATGCGCTGGAATTCAGCCACCTATGTGTGGCACAGGTTTGTTGCTGGCACGGTTAGCTCCCGTGTCAGTTAACCCCAATTTATTGGGATATGATTAGTTGGAAACCCGTTCGATGCGTAATCAACGCTAAATGAATTGTTTAGTGTCTAGTTAAAGTGTCTTGTTGATTGTTGAGTGTGCTTGTAAACAGGTGTAATGGCCTGGGGTAAGTGTGTGTGATGATAGGTGAATGCATGTTAGTGTGTTTAATTACGCTTACGTACTCAGCTTTGCTGATTGTGTGTGTGTTGTTTGTGTCTGGCCATGTCTTTATCTTGGCCCTACGATGATCCATTTTAATGGAGAGTAGTGGGGGCAAGTAGAGATACACTTTTCAGATTCTGAAGCATGTTCTTGACGGGGCATGAGTGAAGAGAGAATCATGCTAGCTTCTATTAGGATATGATATGTTTTATGCATTGAATATTTTATTATATTACCTTATGGACTAACCCAAAAGTTTGGTTGTATCTGTTTTGAATAAGGGCCTTAAATGGTTCCAAGTTGTAGTGGATTTTATTTGACTTTGGTTTTGTTGATTTTCAACTTTACTTTCGTTGGTTTGGTTTTGAATTGTGTTATTTAAATAGTTTTGGTTTTCAAGTCTTCCGCTGTGTATCTTTGATAGTTGCCTTAGCCGTTTTCACGGTGGCGGTAATCTCTAGGATATTTCTAAAACGTATTTTTAAGTATAAAGTGTGTATTTAAAGGAAAGGAATTTCTAGGGTGTTACAAAGTGGTATCAGAGCCAGGTTGGGTTTTTAAATTACCACTAACACGAAAACGTTTTTTTTATTATGATTTAAACTTGGCCAAGTGCTAATTTAATTTTACAATGTCAATTTCATTCCGATTTTATTTTATTTTAAATTATTTTATTAAGAGGGCCGAATTTTTTTTTTTTATTTATTTCATTTTATTTTTTTACTTTGGTCCGAAATTTTTTTAGGGACACTCGAAATTTTTTTTAGTGTCCGAAATTCATTTTTTTCTAATTTTTGTGAAGGCCGAAAGTTGGCCCTTCCCTATAAATCCAAAAAAAAAAGAAATTTTTTTTTAAGCAAAATAAAATATTTTTAGTTTGTTAATTTTGCAGGGAGCAAGGATTGAGGTAAGAATTACGTGTTAAAAGCTATTATTAACATGTTGGTGAGCTTGGGTAGGAAAGAAAAGGGCATATAGGCTAGAATTTAATTTCTTCTTTGTGTGCATAAATTTTATTTTAGGGTGTTCAAGAGTATTGTATGACTAAATGTTTGTGATGAAAGCATGCAATATATGTATTATTTTATGTGATTCTTCAGATTGTATGATTGACCACTGAACCTTGTATCATTTATTTCATTTTATTTTATTTCTTTAGGGAAGGGAAATCTTTTCTAAACCTTTTCTCTACAGGATGTCAATCTTTCCTAGCAAGTTTACCCAAATGGGATCTCTCGTAAAGAAAAATAATGAACACCCCTATGACTTTGTAGAAAAGATAAGATACTTTTGTTCCTACATGAGCAATGTCCTACGGGAGAAAGTTTATGACACCCCTGATCGTATTTCGGCAATGATTGTCCATTGCCTTCCAGAGGAGCCCCCTTACTTTGCTGTCAAACAAAGATTTTCTGATTTTAATCTCCCAGGAGACATCCCAAATTACCATAAGTATAGAGACTATTATGGCCAGTGGTATCCAGACTATATTTTCTTAACCAAATATCTCGTAAGGGTGGAGAAAGTTTATTGTCAGCGCTTAAACCTTCCCTACCCTGACTACTACTTTGATAATCCAGCAGAGAACAATCCTCCTCCAAATCAACAACCAGAAAATTCCGCTTCTTCTTCTTCTTCGTCAGGGGGAAATCTAGCAGAGAATGGAGACCAACAAGAGGGTAATAGTTCACTTATGGACATTTCTGATCCAAACCCACCTCCAACTCCAATAATTATAGATATCTCATCGGATGAGGAAGAAGAAGGGGAGTTTATTCTTGTAGAACCTGAACCTGAATCACCTGAACCAATGAAAAGTCAAATGATTCTAACTTCGATCCTTCAAGCTACAAGCAATCCACCGACAAAAGGGACAACATTCGAAAGGATTAAATCTTATGACTTTCCTCACAAAGAGTTCATATTCTTTATTTTAAAAATTTTATTTGTTATTTCAGTTTTAGCAAATAAGTGGCATGACCACATCCGTTTTTGGAACACACTTTTATTTTAATATCTTCAGTCTATTTTAATTAATAAACCTTAATTATTTCTTGATAAATTTTTACTTATAAATCCTTTTGTTTTACAAATATTCCATTTCACACCACTATTTGAACACGCAAATAATTAGATTTCCGTTCGTTAATATTAATCTCGTTTTAATCCCGATCAGGTTCTAAACTCCTCCGATTTTGATTAAAAAGTAGTGTTTTTCAAGTAAAAACAACGTTTTAAGAAAGACTCACTACCTTTGGTAGTGAGCACTACCCTCTCGTGGCCAAATTCAGCCTCTAAATACGATGTTTGAGCAGTTTTTGATTCCAGGCAATTATTGAAATGCTAATCACCATTCCAAGCAACTCATCTCCAAAAACCATTTATAAACCGCAAACGTCCAGGGGGATTATTTTTTTATTTTATTGTGATGCCTTATTAATTGATGGTTGGTTAGCAATCAATATTAATTGATAGAGCTACATTAAGGGAAATTTTAGCAATCGCTATCCCGAATTGTTAGCTTCACATTTTACTTTAGATGTTTAAAAGATTTGTGATTATATATAAGGGTGTTCGTCTTGAGAGATAAACCTAGCCATTTCTAATAGTCATCCTTGTCCTATATTCAGGAGAAACCAAATGGCAGGGGGACGAAGTTCAGGTAGTGGTGGAAATGATTTGAATGATGTAGTGAGACAATTGGCAGTGGTTGCCAACAATTGGCAAGGAACTCAACTGGTAACGGGGATGCTCAAGGGGAGCTCTTTAAAAAGGTGGCGCAAAGCAAGCCACCAACCTATTAGGGCGAGCCTGATCCTGTGGTGTTGGAAAATTGGTTAAGGGAATTTGAGAAAATGTTTGGAGCTGTGGGGTGCCCTGAAAACTTCAAAGTAGGTTGTGCTACCTACTATCTGAGGGGTGAAGCTGACCTTTAGTGGCAACAAAATGAGGCTACCATTAGAGCGTTACCTGGGTTCAACTGGGCCAAATTCCAAGAAAAAGTGAGAGACAAGTTCTATCCTAGCTTTTTGCAGAAGCAGAAGGCTGAGGAATTTTCAAACCTTAGAATGGATAAGATGACAGTTACGGAATATTAAACCAAGTTTATTGAGTTGTCCCGTTTTGCTGAAGGATCCGTCTCCATGGAGAAAGCAAAAGCTAGGAAGTTTGAGAGTGGGTTAACTACTGATCTGCAGTTAAAGCTGTGCGGGCAGGTATTTGAGACCCTGGATGAAGTATATGGAAGGGTCGCACACCTTTATGCTCTGGAAGGAAAGAAGAAGAAGGAGCTAGCTGAGATAGAAGAGGAAGGAAGTGGGACAAGTTTCTGGAAACCAACAGGGAAACCAAAATGGTTTTAAGAAGCAGAAGTACCACCATAACAATAATTTCCCCAATAATAATAATTTCCAGAATAATAACCGCCAAGGGGGACGTAGCAACAATGGAGGGGCTAGAAACAATAACCAGGGGAATAATAAGAATGGAAGGTCTTACTTTTGCAAGAGGTGTAGGAACAATCACCCTGGGAGGGATTGTGAAGGCAATTTGGTTGCTTGTCGCGCTTGCAACAAACTGGGGCATAGGGAGTACGAGTGTTACTTCAAGAATGCTAATGGGAATAAATAAAACAACTATAACTCAGGAGGAAACTAGAAGAATTTCCAGGGGAACAACAACAATTTTTCTGGGAATAAGGGAGTGCAACAGGATGGGGCGAGAAACAGTAACACCAATAATGGTAACAGCCAACAAAAGGGAGGAACTGCAGGGAAACTTAATGTTTTGAGTAGGCACGAGGCAGAGGCCACAAAAGATGTTATCACTGGTACTTTTTCTATTAACTTTATCCCTGTTAAAGTATTGTTTGATTCTGGTGCAACTTTCTCTTTTGTTTCTAAGGGTATTGTTTCAAAACTTAGGGACTGCTTAAAAATAGTAGAGGCAGTAGATTTACCTATAACCATCCCGACATGTGGGGTAGTGAATTGTACCAAATTTTTTAGAAACCTTTAGAAATAGAGGGAAAGATATTTCCGTCTGACCTTATCGAGTTTGGGCTGAGCGACTTTGACCTTATCTTGGGGATGGACTGGCTAAGTAAGTATAATGCTGAGATTAGTTGTAGATCACAGAAAGTGAAGATGATCACAAATGGAAATGAATCAGTGACTTACTGGATGAATGGTAAAACAAAGTGTCCAAGGATAATATCAGTGTTAAAATTAGCAAAGTACGTGAAGAAGGGACATCTAGTATACTTCTGCAGCGTTAGGGATATGAACCATGAACAGGTGGCAAATCCAGAAAACATAGAAGTGGTCAACGAATTTCTGGATGTGTTTTCGGAAGAGATCCCTGGGATGCCACCTAAAAGGGCGATCGATTTTACCATAGATTTGGTACCCGAAACAGCCCCAATATCCAAGGCACCATATAGAATGGCACCTGCAGAAATGAGTGAACTAAAGGATCAGTTACAAGATTTGTTGGACAGAGGGTACATTAGACCAAGTGCCTCCCCTTGCCAGTTCTATTTGTGAAGAAAAAGGATGGAAGCATGAGACTGTGCATTGATTACAGGGAATTAAATAAGGTGACCATAAAGAATAAGTATCCCTTACCAAGGATAGATGATCTGTTTGACCAACTAAAGGGTGCCACAGTGTTTTCGAAAATTGACTTGAGGTCTGGATATCACCAATTGAGAATTGCCGATGAGGACATTCCTAAGACGACATTTAGGACAATATATGGACACTACGAATTTACAGTTATGCCTTTCGGATTGACGAATGCTCCAGCAATCTTTATGGATTTGATGAATAGAGTGTTTCATCACTTTATGGATAAGTTTGTAGTGGTGTTCATAGATGATATTTTGGTATACTCAAAGGACAAAGAGGAGCATGCAGAACATCTAAGGACAATTCTGCAAACATTGAGAGAAAACCATCTTTATGCAAAATTTTCTAAGTGTGAGTTTTGGTTGGAGAAGGTAGCATTCTTAGGACACTTTGTGTCCAAGGACGGGGTAGAGGTAGACCCAGCCAAAATAGAAGCTGTTAAGAGCAGGCCGACACCCAAAACAGTATCTGATGTGAGAAGTTTCTTAGGTTTAGCAGGGTATTATAGGCGTTTTGTTAAGGATTTTTCCAAGATTTCTAAACCTATGACTACTCTAATGAAGAAGGACAAGAAGTTTGAATGGGATGAAAAGTGTGAAGAGGCGTTCCAACTCTTAAAACACAAATTAGTTACAGCACCAGTGCTTACACTTCCAGATGATAGTGGACTGTATGATGTATATAGTGATGCATCAAAGAATGGCTTGGGGTGTGTGCTTATGCAAAATGGAAAGGTGATTGCATACGCATCAAGGCAGCTAAAAACACACAAGGTAAACTATCCAACTCATGACTTGGAATTAGCCGCCATCATTTTTGCACTGAAAATTTGGCGCCATTATTTGTATGGAGTGAAATGTAGAATTTACACATACCACAAGAGCTTAAAGTACATTTTCACCCAAAAGGATTTAAACTCTCGTCAAAGGAGGTGGCTAGAGTATACGACGGATTACGATCTAGACATACAATACCACGAAGGGAAGGCAAATGTGGTTGCGGATGCTCTAAGTCGTAAAACTAGTCATGGATTAAACTCGTTAGTAGTAGCTAAAGAGTTATGCAGAGAAATGGCGAAATTGAATTTAGAAGTCGTGGAATGGGGAGTACCAGCAGGTATTCTTGCAAACCTGAGTATCCAACCAACAATATTCGACGTGATTCGACAGAACCAAGAAGGGGATGTAAAGTTGGATAGGATTCGTGAGAAAATTAAGCAAGGAAAAGCTATAGACTTCAAAATTCACGAAGATGGGAGCTTGAGGTACAAATTTCTATGGTGTGTACCACAGAAATGTGAGGAAGTGAAGAAAAAGTTGATGGAAGAAGGACACAACACACCTTACTCAGTAAACCCGGGAGGAGACAAGTTATATAAGGATTTTAAGAAGATGTTTTGGTGGCCTAGAATGAAAAAGGAGGTTGCTGAATTTGTAGCAAAGTGTTTAACATGTCAGAAGGTGAAAATAGAGCACAAGAGGCCTCAAGGGACTGTACAATCATTAGAAATCCCAGGATGGAAGTGGGATTGCATTTCAATAGATTTCGTGACTGGCTTACCTAAGTCAAGGTGTGGAAATGACACAATTTGGGTAGTGGTGGACAGACTTACGAAATCGGCAGTGTTTATACCAATGAAAGAAACTTGGAAGATGGAGCAACTTGCTAAGACTTACATCAAGCATGTAGTAAGGTTACATGGAGTCCCAAAAGATATTGTTTCTGACAGGGATTCCAGATTTCTCTCAAAATTCTGGAAAAGTGTTCAGGAAAATTTTGGTACCATACTTAAGATGAGTACAGCATTTCACCCTGCCACAGATGGGCAAACCGAAAGAACCATCCAAACCTTGGAGGACATGTTGAGAGCTTGTGTAATAGACTTCCAGGGAAGTTGGGAAGACAGTTTGGATTTAATTGAGTTTTCCTATAATAATAGTTACCACGCAAGCATAGGAATGGCACCATTCGAGGCTTTATTTGGGAGAAAATGTAGAAGTCCAATTTGTTGGAACGACATTAGTGAAACTATGATTCTTGGGCCTCAATTGATTGAGGACACAGTCAAGCAAGTAAGGGAAATCCAATCTAAAATCCAAGCAGCTCAAGATCGCCAAAAGAGCTATGCAGACTTAAAGCGAAGAGAAGAAGAATTTGAAATCGGCGATAAGGTCTTACTAAAAGTTTCATCGATGAAAGGAGTGATGAGATTTGGGAAGAAAGGAAAGCTCAGTCCAAAATACATCGGTCCATATGAAATACTACAAAGAGTAGGCAAAGTAGCTTATAGGTTAGCCTTACCTATGGAGCTTAGTAAAGTACATGACGTATTTCATGTGTCCCAATTGAGAAGGTACATCCCCGATAAATCCCATGTGCTACGACCCGAAACCATTGAGTTAGATCAAATTTTAACCTATGAAGAAAGACCTGCCAAGATTCTTGATAGTAAAGTGCGTAGTACACGCAACAAGAACGTTAAGATTGTAAAAGTACTTTGGTCTAACCAAGAATATGAGGAAGCCACTTGGGAGGCAGAGGATGAAATGAAAAAGAAATACCCAGAGTTGTTTCAGGTATGTAGAGTTACGGGGGCGTAACTCGTTTTCTTTAAGGGGGGTAGAATGCGGTAAAATTTCGCGCTTTTTCCCTATATTTCAGTTATTTTTGTGCTCCTTGCACGAATTTAAACAAGTATTTCGAGTATTTATGCTCTCAAAGAGACATAAAACAATAAAGGAGTGACAAAAAGTACAGCAATACTATACATATTAAGGAAAAAGGTTTGAATTTCGTTCCCCAAGTTTCGGTACGAAACTTTTTTTTAGCGGGGTAGACTGTAATACCCCGTATTTTTATACGCATTTTATTTAAAGTATGTATTTTATAAAGTATTTAAATAATTGTAATTATTTTTATTAAAGTATTTTAATTAATATTATTATTAAAGGAAAGTTTTATTTAATTATTTTATTTAAAAGTTGGGGTTTTATTTTTGGAAAGTTTAATTTTTAACAAGTTTTATTAGGGAAGGAATTAGGAAAAACCTAGAAGAGGGTTAGTAGAGAAGTGGTATAAATATCCCAATTATGAGGCAAATCAAACTTTGCCCAGAGTGGAAAAAACCCAAGGTAAACTTCTCTCTCTCTCTTCCTTATCTTTTTTCCTTTTTCTTTTTCCCCCTTCCCCTTAAACTTTCGGCTGCCCCCCCCCCTCACCACCGCTGCCAGCAGGCAGCCGCCGCCGCCAGCAGCCGGCCGCCGGTGGTGGCTGCCGCCCCTTTTTCCCCTTTTCTTTTTTTTTTCGAACCTTATATATAAAAAAAAATTGAAGCTTTCTTGTTTTAATTGAATCTATTCTTGGATCTAAATATAAATTATGAGTTTGGGGGTTTAATTTTGATGTTTGACAATTGTAATTGTATGAATTTATTTTCACATTTAGTTTTTAATTAAAAAGCCCCAATTTTTGAAATCCTAGGTCCTTGATTTATGAAAATTATGAAAGCATACGAGGAATTAATGTTTAGATCTTCAATTTAAGTGTTTTAAGACTAAATTACAGCAAGTTTTAATTAGAAATAAAGTGCTGGAATTTTATGTAGAGCACTTAATATTATGTTTTTGAAGGAAATTTAAATTACCCATTAAGTTGGACTTAATTAGAGTGTTTTAAATATAATTTCAGCTTATTCAAATTATTTTAACAGGGGTTTTAGGATAGTATATATTGTTGGAAATTTGTTCAGAGTGGGTTTTAATGCTCTTTTATAATTTTAATGTGTAGGAGACTTCGAAGTGAGCAATTTTTACTAGTCGTGACGATTTTAGGATCGTATTCAAGGTACGTTCGCGTACTTAGCATATTTTGATGATGTAGAATCATGCTAGGTTTAATTTCAATCAATTACAAGTAGTATCATGCTAAGGTTTATGTATTGAATCGTGAATTATTGGTGTTGGTGATTGAATTGTGAAGCATGAATTATTTATGATGGTTTATGGATTGGAAAATTATATTTTGGCATGATTATATGGACTACATATTTATTTATGGCATGATAGAGAGCATGTTTAATTAAACTAATTGTTTAATTATGTTTGGAATATTGAAAAGAAATTTTATTATGGTTCATATAATTTTTATTGATGCTTTAAGCATGAGAAAGGAGCTATATAAGTTTCTATGTACGCAAGGAATAAATTGTATGTTGGTGCCTTTGTGCACTTAAGGTGTTTTAACACCGAGGTATAGGATGGTTGGCGCTTTATGCGTTTGGTGTCTTCGACACTGAGGTAGAATTAAAAAGGGTTCAACATTAAATATTATGTGGTCACTAATTATTCAAGAATTAAATTGGTATATTTGTTTTATTGAATAATTATTATTGATTGACTTATTATGCTTTGAGAGTCATCACCAAGTCTAATAATATGTAAATAACGTAAAGTGAAAGAGATTACGCACCAAAACTCTTGGAACGTATATACCTTGAGTATGAACATATGGGGGGAGTTATGTGACTTTATATTTGATCATAACTTCTAACGGAGTACAGGACGCTGTATATTCCTTTTTATTATGCGCTGGAATTCCGCCACCTATGTGTGGCACAGGTTTGTTGCTGGCACGGTTAGCTCCTGTGTCAGTTAACCCCAATTTATTGGGATATGATTAGTTGGAAACCCGTTCGATGCGTAATCAACGCTAAATGAATTGTTTAGTGTCTAGTTAAAGTGTCTTGTTGATTGTTGAGTGTGCTTGTAAACAGGTGTAATGGCCTGGGGTAAGTGTGTGTGATGATAGGTGAATGCATGTTAGTGTGTTTAATTACGCTTACGTACTCAGCTTTGCTGATTGTGTGTGTGTTGTTTGTGTCTGGCCATGTCTTTATCTTGGCCCTACGATGATCCATT